CGTGAAGACTTGCTGAGCCCTTCTCAGGGCTGCTCATCCACTTTTGGTGTCTCCCTGGCACTCGGGATGCTCGCCTGTGGCTCCTAGAAGTTGTAGCATGCCCAGCGGCCACACCCCAGTAAAAGTCTTGGCAGACAGGCTAAAACAAGTTGAGAATAACCAACAGGTCTCAAAACCCCTCAGTAAGGTAGCGGGATGTCTGCCCCAAGCATGTGAAGACTTCTCCCGGTGGCATGGACCGATGAGAACAATTTGTTCCACTGGCCATGAAGGCAGCAGAAGCTGCTGCTACAGAGCACTTAGAGCTTGGTCCAGCATCAGAGATGCCAAGATCATTGCATCTTAGGCCATCACCAGTCGCCAAGAATTCTGTCTTGCCAGTGGATTTTGATGACTCTGGAAGAAAGAGTGAGGCTGACAACGTTGTGCCACTCTGCCTCACTTAAATCCAATTTACCTGTGAGTTGAGACATCCCCTGTGATCTCTTCGGAAAACAAAGGACAAACAAAAGTAACCTTCCTAAGATTATGTCTAAGCGTAGAGTTTTCCTCCTCAAAAACTTCTTTTGTTCCCGTGTGTTCCTCCAGGATCAAATACAGCCTGGCATAGAAGGCCTTCTCCAGATGGTCTCAATCTATTCCCTTTCTTACTCATTACATTTTTAGTCAAACTGCACTATTTGACTTACCATTTCAGTCCCCTCCTCTGTAAGCCCATCTCCCATTTCTGGAATACATAGACTCTTTTCTCATCTCTGTCATTTGGACTCCTTTTTTCTTTCTCTAAGGCTTAGTTCAGATACCACTTTTCCCCATGTCCTTACCCCAATACTTTCTCCTTCAAGTTTTCCTAGATTGCTTTGCTCTATCTTACTATGTTGTATTTATACCTGTTTTTGTACTGTTTTTCCCTAGTAGAATGTTAGCTTCTTAAGGGCAGGAATTATTCCAGAGCCCTGGGCACTTAGTAAAGAAATAGCAACTTATATTTATCTTATGCTTTCATATTTATTATCACATTTGATGCTCACAACAACCATGTGTGGCAGGTCAGAAATCAAGGCAGTGTGGTGTAGTGGAAAGAGCACCAGACTGAATCGGGTTTGAGCTTGAGTTTAGATACCTGTGTCATCTTTGACACAGCCTCAGTTTTCCCATACGTAAAATGGGACTAATTAATACACAGCTTACCTTCACAGGGGCCTTGTGAGGAAGCTTACTGTAAGTGTGAGAACATTATAGAAATTCGAGTCCCATTATCCTGTTTCCCCTTTTGCTTTTTTGTTGTTTAATTGAGTGAACAGTGAGACAGAGAAATGACAAATACTTATATAAATACATTAATCATTATCATATCCACCATCCCCATTTGATCCTCACAACCACCCTGAGATAGGAAAAAAGATTGTCGTGAAATATGTCTAAACTACTTGCAGATATAGGGATTTTTTTAAACACTTAAAACAACTTGTGGCCAAGGATTACGCAACCAGTGTTCTATTTAGCTAGGACTTGAATTCTGGTCTTCTGACCCCAGATCCCGAGCACTTCCACTACCCTTTTCTGCCCTCGTCTCAAAGGTGAAGAACTATAATTTGGTTTTTATGGTTTCTTCCCTAGTACGGGAAAATCAGTAATAGAGAATTTATTTTTAAAATTAAGTTTTCTTTAAATATGATGTTGATTGGGGCAGCTAGGTGGCGCAGTGGATAGAGCACCAGCCCTGGATTCAGGAGGACCTGAGTTCAAATCCGGCCTCAGACACATAATACTTACTAGCTGTGTGACCCTGGGCAAGTCACTTAACCCCACTGCCTAGCCAAAAAATAAAAAAAAATAAATATGATGTTGATCGCAAAACAGCTTTTCACTCAAGCTGGTCCAACAGAACCTCTACTTAGAAATACCTTGCTAGTCATTTAACTACACACTAGACCCAATCTTTGTGCCCCAATTAATGCTCAAGTTATTTTAAGTGTTTAAGAATATCCCTAAATCTGCAGGTATTTTAGACATTCCTTTTGTAATTAGACAATCCTTTTTCCTATCTCAGGGTGGTTGTGAGGATCAAATGGAGATGGTGGATGTGAAAATGATTTTTGGGTTGTTTTTTAAAATTTATTTATACAAGTATTTGTTATTTCTCTGTTCCACTGTTCACTGAAACAACAAAAAAGCAAAATTAAACCCTGATAAGATGTATGCATAATCCATCGAAACAAATTCTCACATTAGCTGTGTTCAAAAAGATGCTTGTTCTGAATTTTAAGTCCATCACCTCTCTCGTAGGAGGGTGGGTAGCATGTTTCATATTCAATCCTCTCTACTTGTATTTAATAATTGTACGGATCAGTCCTAGTCTTTCAGTATTTTACTTTGTAATTGTTTTTCTTTGTAATGTTATTGTTGCTGTATAAATTGTTCTACTCACTTCACTCTGCACCAGTTCATATAAATCTTTCCAGTTTCCTCTGAAACTGTCCATTTCATCATTTCTTATGGTGTAACAGTATTACGTTACATATGATAATTTGCTTAGTCATTCCTTAATAGGCAGACACCCCCAAACCATCCAGTTTAGGGCTACTATGCAGAAAGCTGCTATATTTTTGTACATATGGGCCTTTTTTCTTTGATCTCCTGGGGTATGTGAAAATTATTTGATTAAGACATTGTAGTTAAGCCTTAAGTATCAACTTTTGCTGTTATTTCAAGAAACATTCCTCTTCCTAACTTTTTACTGACTCTTTTCATCCACGTCTGTAACCTTGATTACCGTCAGCTCGTTCCTCCATCTAATCAGTCACCGAGTCTTGCTGATTCTACCTTAATGCCGTCCGAGTCATGCCTCCCCTTCTTTCTGCTCACAGTCACCGCCCTTGGTCAGGCTCCCCTAGTTTCTTGGCTATAACGCTAGCCTCCCAACTCATCTTCTTGTCAAGTCACTTTCTTCTCAATCCGTCTTCCACAGAGATGCCCAAGTGTTTTGGTTTTTGTTTTTTAGTTTTTTCTTTTGGTGAGGCAATCAGGGTTAAGTGACTTGCCCGTGGTCACACAGCTAGTAAGTGTCAAGTGTCTGAAGGCAGATTTGAACTCATGTCCTCCTGACTCCAAGGCTGGAGCTCTATACACTGCACTACCTAGCTGCCCCCAAAGTGATATTTCTAAAGCAGAAATCTTTGACACTCTCTTGACCAAAAACTCCACTGGCTCTCTCTTACCTAAATAGATAAAACAGAAATTGCTGTTTGGCATTTAAAGCCTTTTCATCATCTGTTGCTAGCTCACTTTTTTAGCTTTCTTACACATTGCCTCTCTGCACACCAAAGACCATCCAAATGGGTTACCTGGCTGTGCCTCACACACATTATTAGGTAGATCCTTTGAATGCATTCCCTCCTGCTAGGATACCTGGCTTGCTTCAGAGTTCAGCTTGGGGTCATCTCTTACACGAGGCTTTTCCTTATTTCTAGCATCTCCTTCTGGAAAATTAGTTATATTTACTTTGTATTTGGTACTTAATGGTGTGTCTTGTGTTATTTCAGCTGACAGATTGTAAGCTCTTTAAAGGCAGAGGCTTTCATTTTTTTCTTGTTTTGGTATTCCTGTTGCTTAACAAAACGTTTGGCACGTAGTACGTACCGAATGGCTACTGATCGATTGTCCCGTTCTTGATTGTGATTTCTCAGAGGTCTACAACAGACTTAATAGTGCAAATTCAAGCTTCTGAATAATTTTCCTTTCTGGTTAAAGGGAAATTTAATGTTGAACAGTGATTGAAAACTGGTTGTTCCACCACTCGCTTCCATTCCTACAGTAAAAACAATGGGATAGGTACTGGACCTGTGTTTTCACTTCCTCATTCTTAGGAGACAAAACTCTGTACTTAGAGGCTAATTGACTTGCCCAGGGTCACACTTAGTTCCTCCTAAGGCCAGCTCTCTATCCACTACCTCATGCTGCCTCAACAACCTAACAGTTTCAAAAAATTCTGGCAAACCTATTTTCCACGCTCCAATATGAATCTTCTGTTCTAGTCAAGCTGATATCTTTTCTTCTGACATTGTCACTCCCTGTGTTAGAATAGAATATTCTCCTCTTCTCTTTGCTTATCTAAAGCCCACCTGTCTTTCAAAGTCAAACTTCTTAGCCCCACTCCTTTGGAAGCCTTCCCTTACTCTCCCATTTTATATTACTCTCATATTACTATATATGTGATAAAAAAAAAAGAGGGTCAGATCAGTTGTGTACAGTTGTGTTCTATAAATGTTTGATTTTGCAAACCTAGTATTTCCAGTCAGACTGCAAGTCCCTTGTTTACAGCTACTATATATTTTTTTTACTTTTGTATGATGTACCAGATACTCAAATACTTGTTAAACTGATCTGCAAAAACAAAATTTTACAGGTAGCTTTATTTTAGGACCAAAGGCAGAAGTTTGACCTCCTCCCTTATGACACTGAATTAGTTTTATTTAGGTCTAATGTAATGTAAAATCATCACCGTCTCCATTTATTGAAGCTAAGTGGCTGCATTAAATCCCAGAAAACTGCTACAGCTATCAGATCTTTCCATTTATCTGGTTTTAATGGTTTGTTACTTAGCTAAAGGTGGTCAAGTTACCAAGTAAATTTAACAGTTTTGTTTCTGGTGGTGAACAGCTGGCTTCCCCCCCCCCCAAAAAAAAAAAAACTAAAACAGGAGTGAAGGAAGAAAATGGCATTTGGTTTGAGTGGGAAATTCAGTCATAATTTAAAGACTAGGATCACTTTTCCAGAGAGGAAAAAAAACAACTCATCTGATACACATAATGAGGGCAAACAACTGTGGAAGGATAGCCAAGAATAGGAAATGGTTAAGTTACTTTATAAAAGCTGGACTCAAATCAAGAATCCTGGAATAATGAAGTGTCAGTTGTCGTTACAGAGTTTTTGCTACCATTTGGAAATTAATGGGATGCAAATGTAGCTCCATTCACTCATATCTTGCTTTGTTTCAGGATATGCATATGGAGACAGGACCACGTTGAGGCCACGGAAGTGGTAGGACTACCATTTTAACTTGTGAGCTGTCCCAAAGAACTGACCATGTCTATTATGGACCACAGCCCCACCACCGGAGTGGTCACTGTTATCGTCATTCTCATCGCCATTGCAGCCTTGGGGGCCTTGATCCTTGGCTGTTGGTGTTACTTGCGCCTACAGCGTATCAGCCAGTCAGAAGATGAAGAGAGCATTGTGGGTGATGGAGAAACCAAAGAACCCTTCCTTTTGGTCCAGTATTCGGCTAAAGGTCCTTGTGTGGAGAGAAAAGCGAAGCTAACCCCTAATGGCACAGAAGTCCATGGCTAAGCTAACCCTTGGCACAGATGCTCAAGGTACTAAACCTTGTATACAACCAGCAGAAGAAAATGGAGAACAATTTGGATGTGCTGCTGTCTAAGAAGAACTGAGTTTAAATTTCACAGTATGGTCTTGCTGGGTTTTGTTATTGCATGCACTGAGACCTGTGTCCTGAACCTAAACTTCTTGGCCCTGGGAGTTGGCTAACCTTTCTGGTGGTACTGTCCATTGCAGGCAATGGACAGACCAGGCCCTGCTGGTGTAAAAGGAATCAAAGCATTTTTGTTACTTGAATGTTTAGCTGAGCCTGTTTTTGATGGAGCTACTACTGTAATGTGAACTAGCTAACAAAACTGTGAACTGTAAATAGGCACCAGAAGCACTTGGTTGTTTTTTTTTCTTTTCTTTAAAAAAAATAATATAGCACATGGAGCTGCTGGTCTGAAGTTATTGTAATGGTAAACTCAGTACTAAAGACTGAGCCCCATGACCATGGAAAAGGTTCTAATCATGGAAAGCCCAAGTTGCTATCAGCTAGCTAGTTAGGAATCACAAATGTAAATATGTAAAGAAAGAGCTGTTGTTTTTAAGTCCTGTGGGTAACTTTATAGAAAACAAGCAATGATGCTTATTAGAATTTGGCTTCTATTGCAGGAAGCAATAGGCCAAAAAAAAGAAACATGCCTCTCTCCTTTATTAGGTAGATTAGGCTGTTAACTATGAATATTGTTAACATTAACTGTATAGCTATTGCAAGGAAGCTGCTGTATTATCTGGGAGCCAGTGAAGGATGTGTAATCTACACAGGAATAGTCCAGAAGGTTGTCAGGCTAATTTATAGCAGCAGAGCAGTTTTTCCTATGTGTTTTTTAAAAGCATGTTAAAAGTATAGAAACATCTTTTCCCTACAACTGGCATTACTTAGAGCTAGCTTGCTGTAATTGCTGTGATTTTCATGTGAAGATATGAAATCTACTTTTAGTCTAAACCAACCCAGTTGTCTCAGTATAGACAGCAGCAGACTATTTCCTTCTGTTTAATGTTTTCTGAACTGGAAGGGAATGGCAAAAGGGGCTTAAAAGTCTTTTTTTTCCTTTTCAGAAACAAAATTTCTAGTTACTATCCCACTAATAGGGGTTAGTATCCTCAGCAAATCAGTATAAGCATGACTGGAATTCTCTAAATCAGGCTTCAAAAACGTTCAGCAAGCATGTGGTAAGCTATAGGCAACCGTTCTAATGTTCATTCAGAAGCCACTTTTGTGTGTGTATGCAATTTAATGCTTATCAAGTACTGTAGGGATAACGAATGGAACTTTAGGAGGTAAAGACTTCTTATTTTCAAAGTAATGACTTTAATCACAGTCTAGCCAGCTTCCCACCTGAAAAAAACAAAAACATAAATTTTAACCCATCTTAAATCACTTTACACTAGTATCAATTTTGCAATAGGATAGAGATTTAACAAGGCACGGTGAGAGTTTTAACGTTAGTGTTAATTTAAGCATCAGTGATTAAGAGAAAATCAGTGCCTAACTTTATTTTGTAAGAATCATTAAAGATTAGCCACTATGAATTGAGCAAATAAAAATGTGAAAGTGAGCCAAGCACAGAACTGTGGTGAGGATGGCTGAGTATGTACTAAGCAAATAATGTTAAAAAAAAAAATCAAGCTAAAATGAATTTCCATCATTCCTTCTTGTTATTAAAATTTTGTTTTGATGGGAGTGATTTAGATTTTACAGCAAGGGTTCTTAACCATTTTTGTCATGGACCGCTATGGCAGTTTCATGAAACATATGGTACCCTTCGTCAGAATATTTTAAAATGTGTAATATAAAATACATAAGATTACAAAGGAAACTTAATTGTTCAGAAAGTTACCCAAAATAAAATTTTTTAAAGTTCATGGTCCCCAGGTTAAGAACCCCTGCTTTACAGTAAAGGCTTTATTGGACATTCTGGGGATACCAGTCAAATTGTGGTTAATAAAGTCACACTTCACTGGAGTCCCAACTTGGGGATGCTGGAAAGCCCTCTAGGTTTAGAGGGACAATTGTAAGTGCAAATCTGATGGCTGCTTATAGCTCATGAATGAAAAGGAGACAATTGTAAGTGCAAAACTGATGGCTGCTTATGGCTCATGAATTAAAAGGAGAACTGATACTCAAGCCCAAGGATGAAAGGAAAGGGGTAGGGAAATATGCAAGTTAAAGATGAGCAAATCCTAGGATGGACATCCATTTACTGAATCACATCAAAAACTTCTGAAGCTTTCTATCTCTTCATCATTTTGCTTTGTAGGGAAAATGATCTCTAGATTAAGGTAGCTAGCAAAGTAATGCTAAGGCAACTTCACATTTGCATATTATGGAGTATGCTGAGGTCACCTAACAAATTCTTTTAACTGCCCTATTTTTTAAAACCATGTCTGGCTTTTTATAGGTCTAATAATTTTAAAAATACTGTTCATTTCTCCAAATGTTAGGGAAATATTTTTTCCTCTACTTGGGTCACCAGAGGGAACTTTTAACTTTGCTTTTTATTTTTAAAATCAGACTTCTTAAAGACAGACAGTATTTAGTGGAGAGTAGCATTACCACTTACTAGACTGAAGCTGTGCTTAAGATGGAAATACCAGTAAGACTGGCCAGCAAAATGCCAGGAAAAAAGCAGCTTTTACCATGCTCACCAGTCAATATAAATATTTAGCTTCTAAGCCCTTCAGTCACTTTCATAGTCTGAAGATTTACTAATCTCTCAAAGCAATTCTAAATGGTTTACCATCTTCAGACTTGCTGAACAGGTGACAAAGAACGATTAGAAAACTACAGTAGGGGAAATGCAAGAATTGTTTGTTATTGTCACTTAAATACAAACTAGTTTTTTTCAGATTCTTATCCTCAAGAACCTGTACTGCTGTTTTGGTCTCAAACCTACCAAGTTTGTGCAATAAATTATATAGGGAATGTTTCCCCAAGTTGAATGATCATCCACTTTGATTTTCTAGACCACTGAGAAAAATTTTTTATTTACAGTGAATTTCAATAAAATTTGCATAAATTATCTTCCCAGTATGTAACTGTCCCTTCTGATTTCTTCATATTATCTTAAAAATCAATCTGTCCTATTTTCATTATTCTGTTCAGAAGCCATAGGAGAACTCATATTAGTGACAAGTTTTGTGTGGTCTCGTGACTGGAGTTCAGTTTCATGAGAAAACGTCTCTTGTAGGGTATCAGATTTTTCAGATTCTTCTTTGTTTTCTAGTTTTCCTTCCATTGTTGCTACCAGGATTTTCAGTAAAGCGTTTTCAGTTAAAAGGTTTTCCGATGCATCTGCTAATTCCTGAAGCTTTAGCGCCATCTCCTCCAGCTCTCTGGTTTTCTGCTCATAAAGAGCCTCTAACTGCTCACTGTGGAGCTGAAGAACACTATGTTGCTTTTCCAGTGTTTGTTTTTGCTTTTGTAGTCTATGTTTATCTCTCCTGGCATCTGAAAGTTGGGATTCCACTTGGGCTTGAGCCTGGTGAAGAGTAGTGATTTCTGCTCTTAATTTATGAATCTCTCTCTCCAAGTGGGATATATGTCCTTTCTGTAATACTGCCTCATTCTGAAGACGTTCTTTGGTTTGGGGGTCAGCCGAGCTCCCAACAGTAGAAATGGGGTCTGAATAACGCAAAATGAACTTCAGCAGATTGGGAAGGGTGATGGGAGAGTCCTCAGGGAACTTCACACTCAAGTCCTTCCTAGAAAAAAAGTATTTGAGTTACAGCTGACATACATAGACCTGAAGTCAGCCTTCTATTAAAGTTTACTTACTTGACCTAAGGAACTTGAAGCTTTTTCTTGTTTACATTTGATAACTGAGGGCAAAAATACTTAAGGCTCAGACCCTCCACAGCATGACTGCTGTACTATTAATTAATTACATAAGCAAAAAAAAAAATGATAGAAGCTTATCCAACAAAGATTACAGGTTACAAAACCAAATCATACAAGTTATTAATGATACACCTTAATGTTGCAGATGCTGGTAGACAGTGGTGAGTTAATGCAACAGACAATTTTAATTTTCTCTGAAATGTCTGTCTACCCAAGATATTTTTATGCATACCACATGTTTATAATCTTGCTCCTATGAATAATGGAAGATAGTGCAATTGGGCTTTGGCTTAAAAAGCCTAACATCCACTGGATTGGGGGATGTCAGGAGTGGAATGGGTTAATACAGACAATCTGTAAACAGTTCATAAATACTGCAGGATCTTATAAGGCCTCACAGTATCATACTGTAATTAATCTACTGGTTTTCTAGTTAAAGTAAAGGAGTACCAAATATATGAAAATTAGAATATGAAAAATAAAGGATTGTTTGTTGCTACATTCTTTTTAGCAATAATTTCTCCTAATACAATGATTTGGATGTAACTTTTTATGAACACATTTAAGCAACATAAGGCACATCTACATTAATGCCACAGTATAAGGCCTCTGGACATTACTACTTACTGACAGGGGCACGACCCATTAAAGGCAATACTCTATCTTTCCTAATAGAGCTGAGGAGGTGGGTTTATGGTTTGAGATAAAGCTAAAAAGTTTTTTTAAACTCTCTCAAGAAGATTTAAAGCTCAGAAAAGCTTTTCTGGGGAAAAACTTCCCACTCTTTCTAGAGCAATCATGGAGTACCAGTGTTGGAAGGTTTCAAATCTATTAATTAACATATCCTACTTCCCCCTCTAGGAACAATACGAACTTCAGTACAAGTCCACAAAAAGTACATATGTAGCTCGCGCTCGCTCTCTCTCTCTCTGTCTCTCTCTCTCTCTCACAAATTTCAAATGCCAATTAACTATTAAAACAAATAACATGAGAAATTCAGTGCATTATGAGGAGACACTGAATAGGATAAACTAGGAGGAGACATTGAATAGGATAAACTATTCACCCTACTGTATAAATAAAAATTAGAAGCAAAAAAGGACAGCTATTTCACTTTGTCCAATACATTAAGAGTTATATCTATAATGAGCTTTTTTAATTGAATGGCATTATTACAAAAGGATCTGGTATAGATTTTCTTTTAAGACAAATGGGATATTCACCTACTGTAGCTCTTTTTAAGTATGGGATTTAAAAAAGATTTTTCTTAAAGTAAGGCATTCTTATCAATAGAAAAACTGATAAATATTAAGATAAGAGCTGGAAGGAAATACTCAAATGCCATATTTACTATATGGTCTAATAGCCCCCACCCACACCTACACCCACCCTATCCCACTGAGGTTATTGTTCCAAGCTGATTCATTCTCCTAGGAAAGCAGTAGGTGATAAGGCCTAGCCAACATTATGGAAATTTCACCTTTTATCTTGGATGGACAAATTTATCATACATCATTCTAATGCATTTCTAGGATGAATAAAGCTGTATAAGAGACTTTACTAATGTGGTCCAAGTACGCACCCCAGGAATAGTAAGCAAATCTACAAACAATTCCTGAAATGAGTAACCCCAGAGAACTGAACTTGGAGAGAAGACCTGAGTTCAAATTCTGCCTCAGATGCTAGCTGTGTGGCCCCTGGCAAATCACTTAACCTCTCTCTCAGCCTCAGTTTCCTCATCTCTTAAAATGGGGATGATAATGACACCCACATCACAAGGATCACATAAGGATCAAAAGAGAGAAGCCATGACAAGTCTTTACAAACCTTAAAATACTTTAAGGTGATAACTATTATCATTGTCACAACAAGCATGTTCACATAACATTAAAAAGTGCAATCTCCTGCCTAAGAATCATATTCATTAAAAGTCTAAGGAAAGGGGAACCTTAACTTGGGTACAGCCAGGGCCACAAGGACACTTGCCTCATTAATGTTATAAACCCACATTCATTCTGCATTTCCTTATAATCCAGTTTATCACTATTAAGGTTCATTTTTTTTCCTTTAGGGGAATTTAAAAAAAAAACCCTCCATGACTATAATTTTAAGAAAATCATGGGAGCAGCTAAGTAGCACAGTGGATAGAGCACCGGCCCTGGAGTCAGGAGGACCTGACTTCAAATTTGGCCTCAGACGCTTGACGCTAGCTGTGTGTAACCTCATGTAACCTCACTGCCTAGCCAAAAAAAAAAAATTTTAAATCATTCTGCCACATTAAACTTAAAGATTTTAGGTTTGAAAAAGAACTTGACAGCCTTCTCACATTCAGTTCATACAGAAAAAAACTATTGAAATGATATTTATATAACTAGAGATTGATATGTAAATATTTTATTAAAGGCTCTTTAGCTGAAAGCTATTTAGTCCAGACTTGTGGGTTCAAAACAATTCTAGTTTTTCTATATATTCATTCATTCAAATAAATGCTTATGTAGTTCCTAGTATGTGTCAAAGCACTATGAGATCAGTTTACCTCAAATTAATGATTTTCCACGTAATCCCATTTTAATTTTTAATCGATCACAATATAAAAACTCCTTGGGAAAAAAAATAATTCTTTTCATATATTTTTCAAAAGTCCCCCAAACTAACTTTATGCAGACTTTATCCTGATGAGCTTAACTCCCCAAGAAGGATTCAGAATTAAAAAGTACATAAGCCCAGCAAGGAAAAAATTCTACAAGAATATGATGACTTTGCTATATTTGAAAATATTAGGATGGGAATAGCTGAGATAACCATGTCTACTACCACATTAAAGAGCACAGGAAATTATAACATAATGGTTCACATATGGGAGTTTCACTAGCACATCTGACCCAAAATAACACTATGTCTTTATTCTACAAAAAAGGTGCTGCCCTGTAATTTGACTCCATATAGAAGACTACTAATTTACCCTAAAATGCTTATAACTTATAAAAGCAACAATAAGAACAGTAAAGAGCAAGAGACTGCTGACTCAACTACTCTTTACGTGAGCCACACCATATTGACATTTCCTAATTCTATTTTTTAAAGTATTTGCTGCTTTTCCTTCAAAGATTCCCTTCCTCTGCTTCCCTGGAGCTCCACAATGGAATTAAGCTGTTGCTCTTAAGAATTATTATCCCATATAGGTCAATGTCACAAAACTATGATTAACAACTTCAATATGGAAACCCATTGAAAAACCTAGGTACATTTGGAGAAAATGAACTATTCAAATACAGATAAATTTCTGATTCATAACTACAGAGATTGTGCATATAAAATAATAATTTTTGCATCTTAACTTCCTAACACTGCCAGGGAAGTATGAAAAGATGAGTTATTTTAACTAAATATATATATGTAAAAACTCAATAGATGAGATTATAGCTCATTTCCTGATTTTTCTTAAGGTATTTTATGAATACCACCTTATAAAAAGTCACAAAAATACTATTATTGCTATTAATGTAGCTTCTTCAAAAGTATCAACACTCAATTCAATGTTTTGACTATACCAAACAGATCACCCTAGAGTAATAAAAAAAAAAATTCAAAATTACCTGTTACATGGAAAAAACAAAATAGTAGGGAGATGGTCAACCATAAATTCCCAGGGAAGATCATTCTGAGCTATATCAATCCTGTTAGTGATAAGAGAAGGGGAAACAGAACAGAAAAATAATAAAGGAACAGAAAAAAAAGACAACAAAAAGCACCTATCATGCCATAAGAATATGGAAAAGTAAAAAGGCTGTGCCAGATCCTTCTGAGTGAGAACACAACTAGATATAAGTTAGGCAATAATATTTTTAGGATCACCTGGTACTACTGTGTGCCCATAAAAACCTAATTTAGTAAGGATTCTAGTGCCATGTAAGTATAAATTAACTTCCATCAATGCCTTTCTTATACCTAAAAAGTAGTTCACTCACTTGGTAGGATCTGGCTCAATATTCTGCCCTGTTAAATACTTCTAGAATAGTGTATGATTTACATCATAATTTAGCAATTTAAGGAAAACCAGAAAGCAAAATCATAATGTACTTGATTAAATAGGTTGGCAAAGTCATTTTTTTTTATCAATTATTTCCAGATTCATTCTCTTATACAGAAATTAATTTGGAACTTTAGGAAACAAACATGTAAAGAGCTTTATA